ATATTCTAACTTAAATTTTCGTAATGCAAGAATTTAATGTTAAAAAAAAAAAAAATCTTACGTGAATTTGTCTAGAGTAAATTCGTTTCTTTGCATAATTTTCGAATAATTTGCAACTGTTTATTGAATATTTGAAGTTAAACAAAATTTTAAACACGTTTTAAGAGTAGAAAAGAAAATCTCTATTGTTATTCCTAAGAAGGAACGAAATAAAAAGTGTTAAAATCTCGTATAATTTATACTTAAATCAAGAATAAACATTAAAATTACTAGGTTTTAATTCTTCTTTAAACGAAAGAACAAAAAAATTCTTATAGTGAGCTCGACACAAAATTAAAGATTTACATTAATAATTCATCTAAGTTATATAGCCACGTTTTAAGAATTTTCATCCCCCTTTAATAATTTCCATTCAATATTGTTACAGATTAAAGCTTTCTCATTCAGTTGTCTCACATCATAACTTTTAAAAGGATCATAAATTTTATTCCAGGCGTTCTTAATTATCTGGCGAAGTTAAGGTTTCATTAACGCTCAGTATATTAATAGAAGAGGCAAGTGACTTAATAATCTTTACTGTGGAAGTAATACAATTATGTTTACGATGTCAGATATATTGTGTGCATTTTATCAATAACTTACCCCCAACAATATATTAATTTCTAATTTCTGAAAGAAACTTTATTAATATCTGCAAAGAACTTAAGAGGGATGGAAATTTTTTTAATAATATTCTTAATTATCTTTAGTGTTTCTGGACCAGAAAAAAAAATAATCTGTTCGTAAGCAGTGATGTGAAACATTTCACAAGTTATAAATATAATTTTTTATACGTAGAATAATGTAGAATTTCTTAAATATTTGTAGAATATTTGCTATATCATAAAAAGGATTTAGAACCGTGGATCCAGACTCCAATTTCTACTGACACACCAACCTACGTTGTCAAAAATTTAACGTGTGGTACAACTTACCAGTTCTACATCACCGCACACAACAGTGTCGGTAAAAGTGAACCGAGTGAAATTCTTACAGCCAGAACTGAAGGTGCAGGTAATAAATTTAAAAAATAACGATATATTTAATAAAATATTTCTGTATGATTTAAAGAATTCTTTAAACTTTAAGCTCCTCTTTCTCCATCTAAAGAAGATTTCATATCTACGACAATGAATGAAGCCACTTTAAATATTTTAAGTTGGAAAAATGGCGGTTGTGATATTTTATATTTTACAATTAAAATAAGACAGAAACATAGAAGATCGTGGAATACTCTTACTAACGAACTTTTGTATACTCATAATCAATACATTGTGCCAAATCTGATGCCTTCAACATGGTATGAATTACACGTAACAGCACACAGTACGGCCGGATCTACAGAAGCACAGTACGAATTTAGAACGTGGAACGTCACAGAAGGTAAATACTTTTTAAAAAATCGATTTAAAATCGAAAAATTAATATATTTTTTTCTTCTTTACAGAACTTACAATTAGGGCAACACCCGAACCACCCCGTCCAAAAACATCGCCATTAGTTACAGATTTAGAAATTTTAATACCAATTGTCGTATCTAGTCTTGTGGTACTCGTAGTAATTATAGTGGGGTGCATATTATGTTCGAAAGAAACTCATTGTAACACCAGAAATAACGGTAAAGTTAAAAAGTTTTTATTTAAGACTTTGCTTTAATGATAAAAGTTATGTAAATTTTATTTATATAGCCGCAGTATTAAGACATAGTAACAGTAAGTATACGAGAGAAGCAGTAGCTATGAAAGAATTAACCAGTCCACCAGACTGTATGAGTAGCGAAGACGGAACTCAGAGGTCGTCATCACAATCAACATCACATTATCCTCCTGGCCAACCATTATACTGTCCTAGGCCAGGTGAGATTTTTTAAATGTTATTTAGAATTAGCATAATAATTTATAAATTTCAAGTGCTTTTATAAACATTGTAACTTAAACACGATCTCTTCAATAAACACGAATGAAAGTTGATGAGTTCGTTAAGATGCTGTAGAGAATATATTAAATGAAAACTTACGAAAATAAATTTCCACGTCAAAAAATTTGATAATATAAGACATAGAAATCGTTTAATAATACAAATTAAATCTGAGAAATTTATTTTAAAAATTTACTTCCTTCTTATAAATCATATAATCTTTTATTTACTCTCCAGAGATAAGAGTTAACAGAAGAAAGAAGGGGGAAAAAAGAGTTTTAAATATAATTTAAGTGCTGAATTAATTATGAGTATTAAAATTAAATAAAAGTAAAACTTAAAGCTTAGAAATTGGTGAATAAAATAAACACAGTACAATGCTTTCTGCTTTTAAAAGCGATAAAATAAAATCAACTCATCTTGCTCTTCGTTATCTTTTTGTAAAAGTTTATCATTTAATTTTAATAGATAAAATTTTAATTTATTAATTTTAAAATGTTAATTATTAATGTAAAGGTTATAATAGAAATATAAACGTGTTAATTAGAATTTTAAATAATATTTAATAAATTTAAATGAATTATTGTTTCTAGAATATATAAAGAAAAGTAATTTATTATAGAAATATCTGTATTGAAAGTATTTGTTTTGATTATTTTCTCTTTTTTTTTTTTTTTCTTCTTCTTCAATGTTTTTAGGTTGTCTCTTCCAATTCTATGATTTGTAAGGTTGCTAGGTTTTGTCATTTTTACTTTAAGTTGTTAGGCATTCTTTTTATGAGAGTTTGGGTAATAAAATTGTTTCTTTTTCTCTATTTTTACATGGTATAGGTCGTTCCTTTTTGTTTCTTTCTGTTCACGATACTAAAAGATGCTGTGTGTTCCTTCCTTTAAATCGATTACTGCTTTCGCTTTGTCTCTTTATAATATCAATTTTTTAATGCATATTCTAATTAAAATAAGTTCAAATGAATAAAACTTTACTTTCTTTTCATTTAATTACTCCATATATATATTGTATTATAGAGAATTTTGTTTCATTCTCCTTCTCCAATTATATTATTCACATTATTCATTATTTAAATGAAACAAGTTTAAGCTTTTATGTTGAAATGTCATACTCTATATTCTTCCCTTTCTTCTCAATAACTTATATAGTATTTGTTCAATTCCTTTCTGCAGTATTTTAGATTATTACATAGAATCCATTCAGTCTGTTTCTATTCAATATATGAAAGTTTAAAGAATAAAAATAGCCAAAACTATCGAACGAGACGTATTCTATAATATATTTTTATATTAAATACCGATCAATAAACTCTACATCAATCTAACTAAAATGGAATTTGTGAAAATTGTAAAGAAAAATATTCTGATAAATAACAGAAAAATAAATAAATAAATAACACGAAGAAAAAAATAAAGTACTGTGAAGTTACCATTATATTTTCCTATTTAAATTATCTCAAAATACAAAGTTAATTGAATAGAAATCAAAATATTAATTTCTGACAGTTTCAAAAGATATATTATTATTAAATATTGTATAATAACCTTTAATAATAATAATCTCTCTCTCTTTGTTTGTGTTAATTAATTAACTTCATTACTGTATTAAAGTGTTTAAATTTAATTAAATTTTAATTTATTTTTACCGCTACGTTTTATCCATCATCTGCTTTATTTTATTTTATTTTTTTTTTTGTGCAGATGATGAGGAAGAGACACAACCGTACGCCACTCCCTACGACACATTACCCATGACTGTTTTGGCAGATCTACCCGTTCATTCCACTTCAATTTCTTCCTTTTCCAGAGTTGACAGGACTGATAATATATATACCAGCCGACAGGTGTGTTACTAAAATTTATTCGATTTTTATCCAGGTTGTGTGCGGGTGTGTCTCTTTCCTCTGTATGACATGGAGTGCAATTATCTCTGAAGGGATCAATATACCATTTTTTTTTTGTTTTTTTTATTAAAAAAGTAACTTATTGGGAAATTTTACTATCTAGTGCTTTTTTTATTACTTATATCTATATAAAAAATATAAATAATTAATGTTTACTAACCGTATCCTTTTGTTTTTTCTCTCTTTTTCAAGTAACCTTCGAGAGAGAGGCCTTTTGAAGCCTTCATGCATCATTGCAGTTTACAGATGCCATGACAGGATACCAAATTTTCGAGTGCTGAATGTAAAGAATTATATATTTTTATATATATACACAACACATACACATATATATGTATTCTAACATTCAGGATGCAAATTTCCGAAAATTCACTCACTATGTACAAAATTTATTTGTCGAGCCAAGAAATTTTTTTGTTTTCTTCAAGGGGAAGAAAAAAAAAATACAAACAAACGAGAATATTTTTTATTTGCTCAGTTATAAAATATTGTGATATATATAAATAAATACATAAAAATAAACTTAATAAAACGTATTAAAATACGTATTAATATCATTGTTTTAAGTTATAAATCGATTAAAAAAAATTGAAAGGAAAATTGATGAATCTGATCTCGAAATCTTTGGATGAAAATTAATGATATTTTAAAAGGAACAATCAATTGGAAGATTGTTAAACGTTGGGGAAAAAAGAGGCGAAAATCAGCTAGATACGAAAACACATGTTCGCTGTTTGTGTATATAATTGATTTTTTTTCTTCACTTTTATGTGATGAATCGGTGCTCTATCTTAACTATTACTATGATTTTTTTTCATTGCATTTGTAATATCGATGTAATAAAACTTTAGATACTTCAAAGTAAATATGTGGATTTGTTGTATTTGTTTTATGTTTACAGAGGCGAAACTTCTCGAAAATAACATAAAATATTCTTATATACTTTTATACTATAAACAAAATCTTGTATAAGAGGCAAAGAATTTTATATTGTGAAAAAGGTTTTAAATTCGAAAAAAAATACTTTGTATTTCTTTTTTTAAAGAAAGCAATTACAATTTATCCAAGCGTAGGAAAACCTTTTCTGCCCAAACTAGTTTTAGGAACCACGAAATATATAACAGTTTGGATTTAAAATTTCTAGCTTTACGATCCACCTTTGCACATAAACTTGCTTGGCTGAATAGTATAAAGTGTTTGGCCTCAAGGTATCGACATGGAACAGATAAAACTGTTACCTGGATTCTTGCTTGTCCTGAAGGGCTTTTTTTTTCCTCCCCCTTACCTTTGCTTGGGTGATCACTAACACTCTTCATCCTCTCTCTTACGTAACCATGGTAACCAGGTGACAGCTACCGAAAAAGATGCAGCAACCACGACAACAATGTAATTTCTCTATAGGAAAGTTGATGTATTTTTTTTAGTCTCTTGAAACAGAAGCTTTATGTGAGAATCTTTAAACAATAATTCTTTCTTTGTGTATGTTATTTGATAGACAGAGAAAGTTTACAGAACTCTATTTACTTTCTCCAAAAAACAAACATGAAGATAGATCAAGAAGAATAAACAAGATTCCTTCCAGTTTTTCAGTCTACGACATGTATTTTTTTTTAATAATAAAAAAAGTATTTTATTACTGATAAAATATATATTTATAATTTATATAATTTATTGCCTGTAATCTTGTTATAAAACTTAAAAACTTAAATGCCATAATTCCGACGAAAATCTGCGATTTCACACGATTTTATGTGTTAAAAAATATAAAAATAAATTTCGAGTAATCACATTAAACGTGAAAACGTCATTTAAGTTTTATTTTCTAAAGCTTCTTAATGGTATGAAACTACATATTTTCGAATGTTTTCTTAGATATAAAGATTATTTTTTTTAACGTTTAAAAGATTGAAAATATAAACAATTTACATAATTTTTTAAGCTTTAAAAGATATCAAAATCGATTCAAAAAATACTTTAAAAATCTATAAAATAATATAGTATTATTAGAAAAAAAATTCATTTTTTTGGTGGTAATTATTAAAAATTGTTTAATTTAAAATTTTTACTTTAAGTTTGAAAAAAAAAGAATCTACTGACAACTTTAATTAAAGTGTGTTGCGGTTGTTTTATGTTTGTGGTTGAGTTTTTTAAAAATGTTGTTCTCTGTTTAATGAAGAAAAATTCTTTCTGTTCTAGTAGAAAGACACGAAAGATAAATTAAGTTTCTAGAAACCAGACACACAGCCTGCTTCCTACCAGAGCTGTGGAGTCGGAATCGGAGTCAGAGTCGGAGTCGTGGAGTTTAGGTGTTTTAGCCGGAGTCAAAGTCGGATGGTAAGGAAAAGTCGGAGTTGGAGTCGGTAGATTTTTACGCGACTCCACAGCCCTGCTTCCTACAAAATAAGATTAAGTAAAAACTTCAAGAGAAGAAAAAAAACACCCTTACAAAAGCTCGAAAAAAAAGAATTTTAAATAATGTACAGTACTGTCATTGTGTATGAAGTACTTGTGACAATAGAACACGCTGCTGTTACTCCTAAAGTCCAGACGAGTTAATAAAAACAGTTAATGAGAAAACAGAACATTTTAGCCTTTACTTTTAACTGGCTTTACTTTCTTGATTATAAAAAAAAAAAAAAAACTGTATATTATAACCATAACTGGTTTCATGGTAAGGCCGCATCTTAGTTTGTGATACCCCATTTGTACTGAATATTTTAATCTAGACTGTTATCAGGGGCGGGGACTATGCCGTGGTGAGACCTCTCTCGACTGAAACGAGGTTCAGTCATAAAAGAGTTCTCTCAATCCCACACGCATGGGAAATACAAGATGTCGGGCTGTGAAAAGAGAAATAAAAAAGACATCTGTCTATTATTAGATATATGGCAAGAAAAAGTGTTTATTTCTAACCATAACTTCCATTTTGTCTGTTGATGTCTATGACATACTGCGTAGTTATCTCAGTTTTATCATCGCGTGTAATAACCGGGTTTTTCTCAAGCGAACTGCCTGTGTGAACAACTTGACAGTTACAATCCAGATTGTAGGTAAAATCGAGATCGAAGTAAGTCGCGAACCTAGTATTACTGTATTTACTCTGTGTTTGTTTGTCCCTGGAAATTTGCCTCACTTTTACGTTTTATTTCTTAATTGAATTAATAATATTATAAAAAAAATTTAACTCTCTTAAAATAAGTAAAATATAATTTTCGTTAAGCAAAATTTAAAGTAGCGGTTTACAAATACTGAGTTTTACGAATTTTCTAAAATCACCACAAAAACTTGATTTGATTATTAATTTTTGACATCTGCCAACTTTTATTCTGGTTTACCCGAAATTCAGACAAAAGTTTTTTTTCTGTTGCTCGACTTGTATACAGTAGAGCCTCGATTATCCCACCTCCGATTAACAGACACCTCGGTTAACCGACCGTCCTAGTTGGCAAATTCAAATGTCCGCTAGTGATGTGGCGCTACAATATTTGGCTATGTCTTGGCTACTTTAATATTATTTTTACATGTTTTAGCTGGCAACACTCATTCGATTATGAAAGGGAACCAGTATTTAAAAGAGGCTTAATTTTCTAATTTTTAACGATACAATAGCGACGATTATTATTTAAAAAAATTTTTGTTAGGCTTAACATCGATGAAAATTCAACGCGAAGTAGGTTAATAGCGATATACTAATATACTAATTACATGGGATATAATAATATACTACACTAATAATGGATTTTTTCATACTTTTCGGTTATCCGACTTTTTAATTATCCGACCAACGCCAGTCCCCAATTGGGTCGGATAATCGAGGCTCTATTGTATTTCTGTATATATTTAAACGTCTGTACGTTTAAATATATACAGAAAACATACAAGTGTGTGAACTAAGTTTATAAAAAGAAAGTTTAAAGTTTTGCATAAAAGACAGCTAAGTAGAATATATTATAAGAAGAAACTCATATGATCACATTTATAACAGTGCCGAATCTCTTGAAAATTTAGATGAGATAAAAAGCAATTTTATTAAATTAATGTATGTTTTTCTGCTATGAAATGACTTTATTATTTGCAGCAAAGATATCTATTAAGTAAACATAAAATGTAGACAAACGTGAAACACTTAAGATTTAAATAATAAGTCTTGTAATTAAAAATTTATTTAATATCGCTTTATTTAAATTCTTTTACACATGGAATTGAGGAGTTACATTTTTTCTTCTCATTATTTTTATATATTCTGTGAAAATTCGATTTTAAGATGGATTTCCAGTTATTATTTAGGTGAATATTTTCGAATTTATTTTATAAATGCAACACAGAATCGAACAGTATTTTTATTATTCATATAAAAATTACATTTACATTTTAGATTATTTCCTTAATAATCCCAGTATTATTCTGAAGATTAATTGTACTTATTATTATACGATTCAAACACATCATAATAATTTTGCTGTCAAAGTTTCTGGTACGAAATTATTGAATATTCTTCGAGCACATGCTATTGAATAATCTGCTCAATATTTTAAGTTATATGGAATATACAATGGAATATACAAACTTTACCTTTTTGTAGACCTCTTTAACAAGTAAAGGTTTCTTAGAATAGAATTTAATTAAAATATGTTATATATTTTTTAATTAAATTATATATAAAGTGTTAATAAGTGTTTCTTAAAATTATGTCTTTGTTTAAAACATGTTAATTATATTTAAACGATTTTATATCTTTTTTAGTTTAAACTTTAACGTGTGTTTTATAAAGACAAATATTACAAGAAATATATATTTTAATTTGTACAATGTAATATTCTACTTTTTCTTCTATAAATTCAAGGATCCTTGTAAACACATTTGCTGACCGACAGGGAATCCGTGGACCAATATTGCCGAGAAATCTAATCTAAACTTAGACAATAAGTTAGACTTAGTGATATATAAAATTAACTACCTCTACAAACTGCAGGATCTAGATAATTGCTGCCACAAAAAGCGGATAAAATATAAATTAGATAACATATAAAGCATATAAATTAGATACTGTATATATAATTATATATTAACTTAATTTATTGTAACTTTATTATAATTATATATATACTTTCCGCCGTCTAGCGCCACGCTACGGAGAGTTTAGGCGAGCTATCGTCTGTACAGTATGTAAATTAGGTACCGCAAGTTTAATACAGTACTGTAATTTTCTACATTTCTTGTGAAAGAAACATTTCTTATTCAACAGCCATTAAAATTATTTATATTAATGATGTCTCTAAAGTTCAACGAAGTTTTCGCAGAAAAATAACATCAGAAATCGCGCCCGCAATTTGCTGCGCTGTTCCGCAACGAAAACAAGCTTGAGCAACGGCGATGTCGAATGGTGCACACTCGGTAAGTAATCCTACAATTTTTTGTTTATAGCGTAGTTTATACGGATTATTTCATAAAAAAATATATACGTATTTTGGAAATGTTGAGTCGGATTAGTCTAGAATCGATTAATTTTATGGAAGAAAACCTTTCAAACAGCTATAGTCCGTAAACTTCACACGTGTCGGGCTGTGATTGGCTCGCGTATTTAAGGATTCCTACAACGCGAAATTCGTATAACGAGAAACGTATCTTCGCGTTATAGGGGGGTCTACTTTATATGGTCTTAAGTCTGGCAAGGCTTGTTATGAAA